AATCCAAAGGAAGAAAGTAAGGCGCCAAAAGCCAAAAGGAAACTTCACAGGAAAAGCATACTACTGAATAAAGCTTTCCACACTCAGAAACAAAACTGCCTATCACCTTCTCTCATAGCCAGAGGCAAGTGCTCACCCACTGACCAAAAATAGCTTCCGTACATCTCAGTGTGAGTAAATCTATTCCATGAAACCCATCAAAAATATGGTTCATCATTGAGAAACAGGTACTAGAAATAAAAACCACCCCACCGTTACAAAATGACTTCTCGATATGCTATGGGGTAGAACTTGTGACGTCACTGCCGTCTCTACAGGTAGTCAAGGGCTTCCTCACTGACATACTGACAATCCTTTGTATGTTGTACTTCCAAGAAATGTCTCACTTAGTAAAGCAAATTATTCAGAAGACTGGTTTTTTTTTTGGTGATTGTTTTCCAATATGATTCCATCATCAATAAATGGTACAGTTGGCTTATTCTGTTGCAGTTATTGTCTTATTCTAATATACAGCCAGGTAAGAGTTGCAGTTCTCTGAAGTGATTGTCTTAGTCCTTCCTGTGTTACAGCTCTGAAAGGAAAGGTATCCTGGCAGTTGGGGGGTGGGGGGTCAAGGAATACCACAAAGTCACACTGCACAACAAACCTCACCTGAGAAAGAAACAAAGAGCGCCTCTCTATGTTATTAGTACATCTAATCCCTGCCAATTTTGTCGTACCAGGTGGGCCAGTGAGTCCATTTGGCCCTGGAGGGTAAGGATGGTCTAACTCACCCATTGGAGATCTTGGATGGACTCAGAGGAAGAGGTGGCTAACAGCTATGGAAGTAGTCAGCCCCACTGTTTCAGCGGTATTGCCCGTGACTATGCCCCCGACTGCTAGCACCTGGACCTCTCGTTAGTCATGCTGTGCTTCTATAACCTGTGATGACATCCAGTAGGGGTTCTTTCTAGTTTTAGAAAAAGGAACACCAGTAGTCCTCACTGTCCGCTATGTCCAGCAAGTCCGGTTTTATCCCATGCTTTTTCAGACCCAGGCCAGCTGGCCTTAGTGGGTTCCCAATAGAACATCCCCATTGTCTCAGTGTGTGGGTGTACCCTTCACGGTCCTGAGTTCCTTGCTCGTGCTCTCTCTCCTTCTTTTCCTGATTTGGACCTTGAGATTTCTGTCCGGTGCTCCAATGAGGGTCTCTGTCTCTGTCTCCTTTCATCGCCTGATGAAGGTTAATATTCAGGAGGATGCCTATATGTTTGTTAGTCATTTCATAGATTAAAGTTTTAGAAGGTTATGCTTCAGTTATAACAAATTTATATTTGTGTATGCTGATAATTAGAAAAAAGTATTTTGTAAAAATCCAAGGAAGTGAGATTGAATAGATAATTAAAAATTGCAGCGTTCTAATCAATAAATGAGATGGATATGAAAAAAAAAGAAAAAGGAACACCAGAGCACAAGTCTCCAACCACCCAGCGGGTAGGCAGTGATAAACTTGAGTGTCTCAGAGAATCGAGGCACTCGAACTGTTTGGGCTGCATGGTAGACTAAAGATTAAGATATTATTGCAGTCCACGGAATCCAGGGTGCCCACAAAGCATGTTTCTGAGGACTTAAAGCAGTCTGTGTGGTGATGTGTGTGTGTGTGTTTTAACAAATAAAGATTGTCTGAAGATCTGAGTGTGGAGCTAGGCACACAAGTTAGCCAAAGTGACCAGGCAGTGATAGCACACACCTTTAATCCCGGCACTCAGGAAACATGCAAGTGGATCTCTGTGAGTTCAAGGCCACCCTGGGCTACACGAGGTTGAATCAGTCTACAAGAGAAACAGAGCCTACTGGTGGTGGCTCACACCTTGAATCCCACCCAGGAGGTGGAGATAGGAAATGATATGGTTGGGTAGAAAAAGGAATATAAGGCGGATGGAGACAGGAGCTCAGGATTCAGCCTGAGGTTTCATAGAGAAGGCATTCAGTCTCATTTCTAAAGACAGGATCTCTTATTCAGTCTGAGGATTTTGTAAGAGGCGGCTGAGCGCACTGCTAGTGGCTGGTTGCTCTGCTTTTCTGATCTTTCAGCTTTAACCTCCTAATGTCTGACTCTGGGTGTTTATTATTAAGACCAATTAGAATTCACGCTACAGTCTGTGATAGCAAGAAGTGAGATGCGGGAGAAACAAGGGGTGGTAGTGGCATTTGCCTCGGAGTAGTTAATAAGTGGTGAGGTAAGAGCCCAAAATTTCAGTCTTACAAATCTTGAGATAAGATTTATACCTTAGCAATAATTAAGAGTTAAACCAAAACCAAAAGAGTATGAGATGAGTGGCGACAGACCCACTGGGAGTAGTCTGTCCCCCCATTTTTTCTTTGCTCTCCTTTCTCTTACATGGTCAGGTGGCTCAGTTAATATGGGGCAGTAATATTTTGTACTAAACCTTTAAACAAGCATGCTTGGGTCTAGAGGAGGGGAAGCCATATGTCAGTCCCAAAGCCACCTTTTAATTGAAACAGGACAGCATAAAAAACAGTCTAATGCCACCCATACCTAAAGGACACCTGATCCCTGTAAAACTGAATCCCATAAGCTGAAACCAAAAGAAGGCTTAGAGGTAGGAAATTTCTGACCCCTAGCTATAGACAGCGGATGCTGTAGGAGGGAGGTGAAAGCCACAGCAGCCAGCAAGGAGGCGTGTGTTTTGGGTGTGTGCGTACTGCAGCTGGTCTACCGCTTTGCTTTCTCCCCATCCTGATCTGTCAGGCTCATGGCTTTCTCTTTGTAACAAACTTAGAGATCCATCAATGGTAAGTTATAAGACAGAATGTTTAAACTGTGTGTGTAGTGTGCGTGTGTATTGGGGGGGGGAGACTAAAACACGGCTTGGAGTGGAGAAAAAAGAAAGTTTGAACTTGGGGAATGGGGAATCTCTTTGCATTTCCCCAATTGCTTGAAGTATTTGTAAAATCCGAATAATGTTGGAATCTATAGTACTGTTAGGCAATCATTTGGATTGGTTATCTAAGGGATATTGAGGGCATATTTGATTGCAAAAGTGAACAAGTTTAGGGTTCTTCGGGTAAGGTACCAGGTGTAGAAGATGAAGGTTTTGTAAGGGCATCTCAAGGGAGAATGGGAGGGTATGAAAGACACCATTCCCATGGCTGGGGGGAGGATAAGCAGGAAGAATGTCACTGCAGCCTGTAGTTGCAGGTGTCCCCAGGACTCAGAGAGGACCAATGAGGACCAAGCCATTTAGTGGGTCATCACCGTATTCAATGGGGGTCAGAGTTAATAGCCTGGCAGCCAGGAGATCTTGGTACCAGGGCTTTTGATGAGACCTGCAGGCTTGCCAGAAAGTGACAAGAAAATCAATCTCAGGAACAGGATCTCATCCATGGAGAAAGTGTTGGGAAACAGAGTCACAAAATCCACAAGGGCCTAGAGGAGCTGTAGGATTACAGGCCGCTCCAAAGGGAAGGCAGGAAAAAGGGAAGAGGCACAATAGCCCACTGGGCCTAAAAGAACTATAGGATTGCAGCTCTAAAGGTGGGGGTACAGGGTCAGGTGAAAAAGGCTAGCATACACTTTTAAGACCTTGGTTTGAAGTACCTCTGCCTCCAAGAGTACCCCAAGGGTGCTGGACCTCAATGGTCACTTCCTCGGACTCAGGGAAGCATTTAGGCCTACCAAAGGGGAAATCACCTAGTTAGGTGGATGGAGTGCCAAGAGATGGGTGAGTCTGTTGCTGCTGTAATGGAGATGAGAGATAGGGTCCCAGTGTGGCTCAGACCACAAGGGGGAGCACAGGCACTAGGAGAGTCTATCTGGTCACAGCATCAATGTGTTACAGCTCTGAAGGGAAAGGTATCCTGACAGGAGCCAAGATTATGACAAAGTCACACCACACAACAAACCCCACACAAAATTTATTGGGAAAAACACAGGAGGGTGGCTGCCTTAGCTCAGGAGAGAAGCAGCTCAGAAAAGAGCAGGAGGCAGGCTTTATATAGGGTTTCTTGAGAGCAGAGCTTTCTAGCATGGCCTGATTGTGGGGAGAACTCGGTGATTGGTAGGATTTCAAGTCACACTTGGCTACCTGCCATCTGAAGGAGCTGATCAGGCTGTTACTGAGGTTAGAGTATTCTGGGGGGTGAGGCCTGGCAGTTGGGGGGCAGAGCCTGGCTACTCGCTTACACCTCAGGGGGCTTACACCTTCCTATGTTAGCACCTTTCCTTTTTCCTTCCTCATCTCCATAAATCTATCCTTCTAGTCTTTCAGCATTTGTTTGGCTCTGTGAGTTGTTATTTGGGGGCTGAGGAGATGGCTTAAGATCAACAGACACTCTTCTGCACTTCCAATCCTGTTTTCTGTGCTATAGACTCTTATCTGTTGTTTTTAAAGCTGTCAACAGTTCCTTAAATGAGTAAAATTGAGGGGTTAAGAAAAATCCAATAGGCCTAGCTTTCACACTGCAATGTGCCAAGAGAAAAATCAGAGAAGGAACATGAATACTGTGGAATTCTGTACCTAATGCTTTGAAAACATTTTGATGTTTGAGTAAAATCATCCTATTTTCCAAGCCTCCAGGTTTTTAAGTCGGACATTCCCCTTCAGGCCTTCCCAAGGCACTCTTTGTATGTATGGGTGTTTTCCTATGTCACTCTATTTCTGAGGCAGCATCTGATTCTGTAAGAAAGTCTGGCCAGCAAGTCCAGAGTACCCTGTTTCTGCCCTCCCAGCACTGGGTTACAGGCACAAACCACAATGCCCAGCTTTTATGTGACTGCTGGGAATGTGAACCCAGGTCCTCATGCTTGCAAGGCAAACACTTTAGTGATTGAGCCATTTCCCTGGGCTCCTTTTCTCAGAGTCTGTTAGAAAGACTCCCATTTGACTTTAATGAATGTTTGAGCAGAGGTTCTTCTCAAAATACATCTGCCACTAGTGAAATAAACTCAGAAATATCAGGTGATAAATGGTGTCTATAGAGAAAATACCAACAGACAATATGGTAGCAAGAGGCATACTTTATTAAGCTTCCTATGAGGTTGTTGGGGATCATTTGCTGCTACAATGCAAGTTACAACTCAAATGGTATCGTGAACAATTAGGATACACGTCAAGCATTTTCTGAGAGCAGCTACTGTATCTTGATCACTAAATGGAATGGTTCTTCAGAAGAACAGTCCCTTACCCTATATACAGGAGAAAGTAAGGATACCACAGTGGTATCTCAATGTAACCAACAAAAGAAAAACAAAACACATCTTATAGTCAACTTTGTATCAACATGTAAAAAGTACAATGAATTTGCAGTGAACATTTGTATAAGAACATTTCATGTAGGAGAATAAATTCATGTTGCATATACTATGGCCACAGAACAATACTTTCTTATAGAGTCCAACTGCTAATAGTATCATAAGAAAGGAAGCATACTACATATCACATTTCACTATATAATCTCATTGCCAAAATAAATACATTCATTTCCTAAATGTCTAACCTAAATTTGAATACATGTAATTCCTTTGTTTCATTTCAGTCTATTTGTGCCTATGCAGGTAGACTAGGATAAATGCAAACCTGGGGCTAAAATGAGAAAACTACATTTTACTAAGTCTGCTACACACAATAAAATATGTATTTTCTATTCCAAAACTGTCCTGAGTATTTAGTTTCATTAGGAAAAAAGATGGTAACTGCAATGGTAAGATATAAATCACATTATTATTTTTCAACAAAATAGCTGAGAAAGTAGCCACTGGGAATCAAGACCCAGAAGGTTTTCAATCAGGACTTCAGTGTAAACACAAGTACTGAGAGGTTGCTGTTTATACCAATAAGCTGCTCCTGTTCACAACTGCCACACTCCCTCATTTCTGATGGTCCCTGAGAACCAAGTCTGCCAAGAGGCTAGCATCTACAACGGATGCTTTCTGAATGTCCTTTCCTCCTCTAATCTCAGATAATCAAATCTCTGAGAGTTATGCTTAAGAGTTTTCTGAGCACTCTCCGAGGTGTCTGCATGTACTGCTCTGAATAATGGTTTTAACATCAGAAGATCTTTGGATTAACTGCCCATGTGTATAATGAGTACATGGATACCCACGTATCTTTTATTTCTTAAGAAGAACAAAACTTGGCTTTAAAATTTTTCTAAAAGACAAAATAGTTTTATTAACCTCAAGTCTGATAATCACTTGTCATTTTCCCATAAAGTTTAAAGCTCATAACAATTTTATGTGGAAACAGCTCAGCCACTCAGAAACACAAACACAGGTTTGATAAATAGGGTCATTAGCCAAATGACCCCAACCTAACAGCTCTCACACACCTCCAGACTTCTTCCTCAGAGAAGTCAGCCACCACGTAGAATGGAGCGTACTAACACAGTTTACAGAGTCCCTTTGGGAAAAGTAATAGTACAGTACCATCGTTCACACCTCCCCCTTGTCTCTGGCACTAAAAAGCTGGTCATGAAGGACTAAGAGAAAGAAGAGCTATTAAGAGAGTCAAACAGTTTATTAAAATTTTACTACTCATACAATTTAGGTGCCTGTTTAAAGCTAAAGAATTATTTTAAAAAGAAAACAAAAACAAAAGGAGAGGGTTCATATAGGCTACGTAGGCCTTGATCTCAATCTCTTACTGCCTCCACTTGCCCGGTGTGGTCAATAAACCCAACTCGCAGATTACTTTCAAATGTACACTGACTTGGCAGCTATTTATTGCTTTCTCAGTGACTCTGATGACCATGAGTGTGGGCTTTTTCTATGACTAAGCTGATTTTCATTTTAGAAGGGTGTAGCTGCAGCAAATGTGATAAAAACAAACACTTTACAGACGAGCACAACAGCACCACTACTCTAACTACCACAGCAATGACACCCAAATTATAATGCTGAAACTAAAAATGAGAACTGAAAAGGTCTTTATGGGACAGAAGCCTCGGCTCATGTCTTCTGGCTGCCGTCATCTTCCACTGAGCCGCACCTAAAACACAAAGAACAAGTAACAAGCAACTTTGTTTTTTTTTTTGTTGTTGTTGTTTTGTTTTTTTTTTAAAGAGTAGGCAACAGCTTTGAAGGCATAAGATGAATGGTTTCTAGTGGAAATTAACTTATTAACTATAAAATGAAGCCATGAAAACCACCAGAAGCCAAAGCATTAACTACTGAGTGAAAACAACTACAAAATACTTGACTATGCAGCATACCAGCACCAAAATAAAGTCAGTCATGGTGGGAAACTCGCTACTCAGATCATTAAGGTGGGCGCTGCACCTGTGACGCCTTGTTTAAAGGCCTCACTCTACCCATAGATGAAAATCACCTTGTACTTATTTTAGTAAGTCTAACCATGAAGAGAGATGGGGGTGTAGGTTCATAGGTGGTTTATTATCTCATCTATCACCTTCCTGGCTGTGTAGTTCATTTCATGTCTTTAAATGGAGCATAACCCACCAGGAGAATGCTGCTACTCTGATATTCCATTCTTGAATGCACCAAAATGTGCATGCTTGTTGTAATTAGGTGCCTGGGTGAATAAAAAAATCCCATTTACAATGTAAAAATATTATTTAAACCCCAAAATTTTATTGTTCTCATAATCCTCAGGGAGACAAGCAGTAAGTTTACCCACTCCAAAACAGAAAAGATTACACAGGATTCTGAAAATTCTCTTATACCATATTAAAAATACAAATTCCTTTGTGTTACAAAACCAAGCTGATTTACATGATTTTGTTTTAAATTGTTGCTAAATGTTTATCTACACATGCTGTCAGAAATAACCTTGTTAAGAAGGTGAAGCTGGTGTCTCAGCAAATCAGACCCCTTGGAGAAGGCGTCGAATGGCCTGTGCCCCGTTTTCCTTTTTCTCTTTCCGCACCATCAAAAGGAAAAGTGAGAAAATAGCAGAAACATTAGTTAAATCCTGAGTTATACCCCATAACCTACAGGAATAACCTCACTACACTGAAAGCTGACAAAACTTTTTATCTGGGGGAAATAATTAAGACCCTAATAATTAAAAAAAAATTTAAAACTCAGGCTAGGCTGAGTTATATCTTTAGCAGGTAATACTTTCAGGAGAAAATCAAAGACTGTTTTTAACTATTTACAGTTTACCTGATTTACCAGCACTGAAGACAAAATCTTTTAAAAATGGCTACAAATGCCTTGTTCACAAAAGACTTTATTATCTAGTGATGCATACTGAGAACATACAGAATTCTGCATGGTCCACTTCCCATGCAGGAGAACAATGTTCACTTTACAGTAAGTGAGTGTCAACTGTTTATGCAATAGACAACACTTTAAAGTCACATTTTTAAAGAAAAAGCTTCATTTACAAAAGAAATAAAAGGTAAAGAAGCAATTACCGCTTTTAAAAAGCAGCTGCTTTGTTCAAGAGTGGGAGGTTTATGCCTGTATTGAAAGACAACATGATCACAAATAATGCAAACAATGAACAAATGAAAAACACTTTTACCATAAAGCAGTACACTTTCAAAATGACATACAAATAGTTAAAAATCTCATTATGCTGTCTATCTTTTAAATATGAGGACTTTCAGAAGTAGGCCTCAACATTTTAATTAGTAAATGAGAACTATGCAGTTTCTATGTCACTAAGAACTGTATTTAACAAAATGTATATAAAGTCTATAGCAAGTTGATTTAAAAAAAAGCAAAGTTAATAAGAAACAGTACACTGAAGGCGCTCTATCCATCAAGCACATACGCTTCAAATTTTAAATGTGATGAACAGAACAGAAACTGTAACTATGCCACAGTCGCGATGCCAGAAAAATAAAACAAGATCAATTATCACACATGCAGGAAATTCTGCCACACAGCTATCCCTCATTTTCAATTATTCCAATAAAATAACATCTTAAAACACTGGTGATGTTGATGGTTTAGCTTACCTTCAGTGTACTGAATGTTGTACACAACCTGCTTTAAAAGAGGAGACATCCCTGCAGGCAGGCTCAAGAAGGAACAGACTCCCTTCGGCACTGACTACACCAAGGGCATGCTGCTGTGGCCTGCACACACACACCTAGGAAAACGTGAATATAAACAGCATTTATGCTGGCCATTGTATCTGAAGACCAAAATGAAGCCAAGTCTGCTAAAAACAAATCAACCACCCAGCACTGCTACTCATAACAGATGCTTTTGTCTTTTATGTGAACTGCAACCATATACATTAGCACTTTAATTTTGTGCAGTCTTGGCAATTAAAACATTTCTACAGTGAAATTTCACATAAGACACAAAACAGTTTAACTAACATTTCTAAAAGAAATATCACCCTTGGTGTTAATTCAAATATATCATGCTTCCTCAAATTTGCTGCAGAAATATTTATAAGTTTATATACATTAATAATAAACTGCTGTGAAATTTCTTCAGTCTTTGTATTTAGTTACTCAAACCCTTGGAGTTTCTTCATCTCGTTTAAATTTTTTCCTGGATGAATGCATGCTGCAGGGCCTGGTTGATGCTAATTCGCTTAGCCGGGTCCAACATTAGGATCTGGTCCAACAAGTCCTTTAGCTGGTGCACTTTTTTACGTTGATCTTCAGGAAGTCGCTGGCACCCAATCAAGTCAGCCAACAGGTCCTTAGTTGGGTTAATGGTGCTCATGACAGTAACTTTCTCCTAAAAATAATTTTTACAATGCATGGCTCTAAATAGGTTACATGTATGTAAATGTAAACCAAACTTTGTTTGTCTATATTTTTTTTTGTTTTCTTTTTTTTTTTTTCCGAGACAGGGTTTCTCTGTGGTTTTGGAGCCTGTCCTGGAACTAGCTCTTGTAGACCAGGCTGGTCTCGAACTCACAGAGATCCGCCTGCCTCTGCCTCCCGAGTGCTGGGATTAAAGGCGTGCGCCACCACCGCCCGGCTGTTTGTCTATATTAATATATAAACAAGAATACTTATGATGACCAATCACGGGTTTTAGGTAGTTTTATCCTCCACAGCTTTTCAAACAAGCAAGGAACTTAAATGGAAAAACCCCCAATTAGTCAAATGAGCATCTGCTGCATGAACTATGTTTTCTCTGGTCTTATTCTTCAGTGGCAAGAGACGGTCTGAACCAGGCCAGTACCAGAACAAGTTACCCAGTGCTCTAACAAAAGCAAGGGTTTGGTATTACAGATCAAAAATTAGCAAATTATTACTTCATCCTGTAGGTTTTAGAAAGGTTGATACGGAATGTCTATTTCAGCAATGCTGGATAAATGTGTTCAGGAGAGGAGGTAACTCAGGATATCATTCAGCTCATGGAAGTCTGTGAGCAAAGGCACCAAGCCCAAGTATGCCTGAACCAGTGTGTTTCTTGGACAAGAGTGGCTTTGCAAGGAGGAGAAAAATGCTAAATAAGGCAGAGTTTATGGAGAACTTGGCTTGTGACTCTGCAAAACTCAAAATATAGACAACATCCTCCAATAGCAATATAGAAGAATATGGAAAGTCAGATCAAGGGATCTAAGTGAGGTGGCAAGGGCCTAACTAGGGACTATTATGACAATAAAGAAACATTTTCACTCCCTTTACTGCTTTCATGGCCTGATGTGCTTTGTTCAGTAATTAATAGCAAAAAGAAATTGCATATTTTGTTGTCATTTTAAAAATAATCACAAATGCACATGGCACACAGAACTCAATTCATGGATAATGAAGCATACAGCATGGGGACTTAGTGCAGTGGCAGGAGCACTGACCGAATAAATGTGAAACCCCACCTCAGTCCCCACACTGAAAAGACAAATAGGAACCACCACTGTGGCACACTCAAGCCAGACTTACCCTCTCTGTTACTTTATCAACCTCTATGTACATGAAGTTCAGATTTTGGTCAAAATGTTGGTCTTTGAATACACCTTTCCGAATCATCTACAAAACAGTGGGGAAAGGGCTTTAAAATTACTATAAAGCAGCCTGGCACACTACCAATTCTATGCAATAATTCATGCAAACATTATTTAAGACTCTCTTGCTAGGGCCCAGAAGCCCTTGTACACAGAACCAAGAGTAAGTCTATCATGTAAGTCTGCCATGCTTAGCTGCCTTCTCTTCTGACCAGTGCACTCCCTCACATGGTAACTAACGCATGTGCCGCTCTCCATTCTGTCTTTCATTTAATGTCTCATGGTTGCAATTCTTTCTCATCAACAACAAGGGTGCCCCCCTCCTTCTGCTACTGAAAAGGGAGTTCTCTTTCATAGCTTTTGGCTGATTAAAATCATTAACTGGAACCCCTAACAAGAAAGGAGCTAAGGCCTCACAACAGCTACCTACCCATGCCTTTGAGAGCTTTATTTTACAAGCTGTAGTCTAGATGATAAAGTGTCTTTAAGTCTACAGGAAGGAACTTATCCTACCTTATTTGGCATCTTTCCTTTGAGGTCCATGGCGAGCTTCAACATATGGTTATTAGTTTTGCCAGGAAATAAGATTTTTCCAGTATAGAGTTCATATAAGGTGCAACCTACAGACCACATATCGATACCATAGTCATAGCTTTTACCTATAACTGAAAACAAAATGGAGGTTTTAATACATGAGAATAAGAATGAACAACTCCTTAACTTTTATTTCCAGTAATGGGGACTACCTGAGCTTGAACTATAGCCATATCCATGTCTCAGTTTAGTTTCATGTTCTTTCCCACTAACTCTTAAGAGATATATTTAAAAATAAAAATAAAAAAGAAAGAAAGAAAAAAAGAAAAACAAAAAAATGGCAACAGGTTTAATAACGAGAGGAGAAAACTAGAGGGACAAGCACAGGTGCTGCCTTCCTTCTCTCTCCGTTCACCTTTGCTGGAGGCGCTAGTCCACCTCAACCCAGGCAACAGGAAGAGCAAACCAAAGGTCCCACACAATCCATAAACGTGATAATCAGACCTTGAACAATCAAGAGCAGTCTTCTAAAGTCGAGGGTTTTCCACAACTGTTTTGCTACTCTTGCTCGACATGATCAAGACTCCTGCCACAACTACCTTCATTCCACCTGAGGAGGATGAACTTGCTATGGTTCCCTTCCTCATGAATGAACTGGTGCGGCTGCTGAAGTACGATGGAAAACAGTGCTTAGACATTGCACACGCTGCCGCCACCACAGAGGATGGCCCAGGTACAACAACACTCTAAGAAACTTACTGATCTCCGGAGCACGATAAAATCTACTGACAAGATAAGGCGTTATGTCATTATCTGCAACATGCGAAGCCGATCCAAAATCACAAAGCTTTAAAATTGTTTTTGATTCATTGACCTGTAAAACATTTTGAAGGAAATTCAATTCATGCCAGAAATAATTAGGCAAATCAAAACTGTCCTTTAAAAATTTATATTAAACTCAATACAAAAAAAAATCACGCATTTAAAAATTTCCTTTTCTATTATACAAGTTCCTAATTATAAAAAAGTGCTCTTAAAATATTTTATTACAACTAGTAAGACTTTTTTTGTCTAGTAAGGCAGCATGGGGGAACATTGGGCCTATTTAATTTTACTTAACGGTATTTAAAATGGATTTGAATCATGAAATAAAAATCTCATTTCATGAGGCAAAGCATTTCTAAGATTTCCTTGAATGTCTAAAGTCAAATTACTCTCTAAAAAGAGCATGAGAATATTTATCAAAAAAAAAAAAAAATTGACTAAAGTCAACTACCAGTTGCCAGAAAAATACAATGGCAAAGGAAAGATGACACCTAACACTAAATGATTCTTCATCTAGGTATCTGGTTTCTATCCACTGTAATCACTTTAAATCTGAAAAATTTAAATGTATGTGAGAGAACTGACAGACATGAACTCTATTAGCCATCTATCCTTGTTTCCTTGGTAAGTACTCCCACGTATACAGTAACAGTGACATCTGCTGAGAAAGGCTGGAGCTGCTCCACCGTTGCTGCCACTCACCATCAGAAGCATGTTCAGGATTAACAAGTGAAGTTAATTCATATTCCAGAGCCCCCCCCCCCCTTTCTAAAGAGACACATACAAATGCCAAGGTGGGACTTGAACTCGGCCCACTAATCCCAGCCCCGTGACAATTTAGTTTAGCTGACTCTAGAACTCTCTTTGTGAGGGGAGTTATCACCACAAGGTGAAATTAGTGGAACAGGCTGGACTGTATCCACAGAATTGAGTTATAATAGTTTCTTTCCCACAGTCCCAGAGAGAGCCTTTCTATGCAGCTCAGGCTGGCCTGGAACTTATTTATGTAGACCAGGCTAGCCTTGAACTCACAAAGTGTGACTGCCTCTAAGCGCTAAGATTAAAGGCCTAAGCCAGGAAGCTCAGCCAAACACAAATTATTTTAAACTATAACACAATATCAACACTGATTTTTTTTTCTTTACTTTGGAGACCAGCGGAAAGTTATCTTAAAATGGTAAACTTTTTTTGTGATCAAAACAAAGCAACAACAAAAAATGAATCTAGCTACTTAAAAAGGTCTAACACCCAGAAAACACATGGAACCATGCACCAGGGGAACGTGTGAGCTGGTTACAATGCATTCAATGTTAGCAGAGCCCTACACTCACTCAGATGGTGATTTACCTGGTATTGGGTACAGTGCAGGGCCCTCATGTAGGCTAAAAATACACCAATGCAACATACCCTCAGCAATGCCTCTCTTTAGTTTGCTAAGCAACTTTTATTCCCCATGGGGAATGCTGCACATGAATCACACTGCAGCTAGAACTAGGCTAAAGCATTAGATTGACAGGAATGAAATCAGTTCTAGTGTTCTCTAAGATTGTTCCCCCCCCCCCCCTTTTCGTGGTTCCCAAAATCTAAACTAACATAAAAGGAAAAAAGAGGAGCTACTGCCAAACATCTTCGTATCTTTTAAACTGCAGGTGTTTGATATATATGCTGTATTTCACAATTTTTAAAAAGACCAATCTGAAGTAAAAAATAAGTATAAAGTTGGCTATCAATTTCTTAATCCACGTAAAGCATACCTACCATTTCGCTAATTTCTCAGTAATCCCACCCCTAAGTTATAGTAGACACACAGTACAATACAATAAACACAAACCAAGCATCAAGATAGAATGTGCATCATTATTAATGTCACAGACTGGAAGGAATTACTTTAAGACAGATGGTATGTGTGGTTTCAGTGGGTAAAATGCTGGCTTTACAAGTAAGAGAACCAGAGCTCAAGTCCCAAGCACACACTCAAGATGGGAGTGGTGGGAGAACTGTATTGTCAGACACAGGACACTCCCAGGGGCTCACTGGCTGGCTAACATAGCTAATGAGTAAGCTCCAGAATCAGTGAGAGTCTCTGCCTCGAAAAATTAAGATGGGGAAAAATTAAGATGGAGAACAAGAGGAAAGACATTCTATGCTGACTTTTGGCCTCTACATGCTTACACATGGGCACAAGCACCCTTATGTACACGTGTAACATTCATGTACCACATACATATAACTATACAAAATAACTGTGTACTCAAAATTAGAGCCTTGGGAGTCATTAAACTTTATGAGATCGCAGTTTTGGGGTATGGTACTGGATGGAGATTGAACCCAGAGTCTCAGGCATGCTGGCAAGCACTCTACCTCTGAGCTACAATAGCCCCTCACCCATTCACAATCTCTTTAAGAATTTGGTTTGTCACAGCTCAAACATGATCTCAGTAAAGAAAACCTAACATATATGGTTTTTCCTCTATGGTATTATTCCAGAAGGAACTAAAAAAAAAGCATGTAATACAAAACAAACAAAAATAAAACAATGCAATACAAAACAAACAAAAACAAAACAATGAAAAACTGGGGGTGCTAAGGCTAGAGAGATAGTCCAGCTGCTCAGAGCACTGACTTTCACTTCCAGAGAGAGGCTGATTCCTAGAACATGCATGGTGCCCACAACTGTCTATTATGTCATTCCTAGGGGATGTGACACCTTCTTCTGCCCTCTGTGGGCACTGCACTCACCTAGTATATGTACATATATGCAGGTAAACACATTCATAAAGTAAGATTTAAAGGGGAAAAAATTACAAAAGAAAACACACGTTGTAGATCATATCACTGGCAAACAATGAAGCAATTCATCAAGTTGTGAATATGATTCAAACTGACTGCTACAGAGAGGGGAAGAAAGGCAGGGGTGTGCTTGTGCATTAATGCTATCACCATGATGACGTTGTCTTCAGATTGCAAAATCACTAGTCACTGAGAAATCTGATTGTACTACAGCAGAAATCACTAATAAGAGATGGTATGACTTCAAAGAAAGACCTTTCAACAATAACACCTAGCTGGAGCTGAGCCTCACTGCTTGGGTCCCAGAAATCAGCTTCAAAGGCAATTAAAAAAAAAAAAAAAGACAGGAACCAAATGTGGTAGGATGTGCCTGTAATCTCAGCATGAGATTTGGGAAGTTGGGGAAATAAAACCAAACATGCACCTTAAAAACTGAACTCCAAATAGCTGCTCAGTAGAGAGCAATTTCTTTAGTGTTCACAAGATCAGAGCACACTTCAACACAGCAAAACTACACAGTCGTCTTCAGCTATTCAAGGAAATGACTGCCATCATTCTTAGGACCACTGCACACTATAAATCCATCAATACATTTTTAAAAAGGGATGATTCATTTCCTCTTCCCTCAAGAGTTTTCTATAAAATTCATGGTTCAATTTCAAAAAAGATAAAATTTGACAAATTAGGTCACAATGGGCTATTAATACATAGAATTATACTGTTAAAATATGTTATTCTGCAACATAACAGTAGTCCTGTTATTAGCAGGAAGAGATGTGGACATACACCAAAGCTGACCTAGTTTAGTTGTTTGACTTACCAGAATATTGTCTGGCTTGATATCTGCATGCAGGATGTTGCATCTTTTAAGGAGTTTCAACGCCAGGAACAATTGCTGACTGTAGGATCTCACAGCTTTAATATGGAGACCGACATCCTTACCATACTTTTTTAATACCTCTCGCAAGTTCATACTTTAAGGAGAGAAAATCAAAGAAAATAGGGTCAAAAATCAAATACAAAAGGCAAAAATATTTTCAAGCATAAAAAAAAAAGAATTGAATGGGGTGGGGGAAAGGTGAAGGAAATGGGAGGAAAGAAGGGAGTGGGAATTGGAATTGCTATGTAAAATGAAAAAAAGAGTTTGTTTTTGTTTTATTTAAGAAAAATAAAAAGAATCAAGTGCAAAATACAGTTTATATAATTGTTTAAGAAAGCTTATCCCCAATGTTTGCTAAATTATTTGAGAGAATAACAATATATCCATAGTACAGCTTCCCAACAAAGTTCGATTTTCAACATAAAGGAAGAAATACTACATAGTAATTCCTCCTTTACTCAAGAAAGGCCCCCTTGAAAACACAACTTGGAAGCCACATTACTGCTGACCTGCATGGTACCTGAGGTTACTTACTGTCTGCCACACGATACAGCAATCAGTTCATGTTTTACACACTGATGATTTTCAGGAGAATATGGTTAACGAAAAGAACCAGCAGGAAAACCCTAAGCAGTCCCGAAATCTCCCCTGCATTTACCCAGGATGAGGCTGGTAGGCAGATAACTATATGTGTACTTGATTGCTCAGTTTGACACTTTACCTGAGAGGCTCGAATACAAGACAGAGGTGCTGCTTATGGTAAAAGTGTCTGAAGAGGCGCAGGCAATGAAATTTGTCATCAGGATCAGCATCATTAAGTTTTTTCAAGAATTCTAGTTCTTTTAAACCAGTCTTTTGCCTGCAATGAAAAAGAAAATTAGGGTACAAGAACTTAGGAGTAACATCTTTCAGATACAGCCTGATATGCCATTTGTAACACATGTAACACTAAGTGTTATATTTAACTTATTAATTTTTTTTTTAAATCTTGGGGCTGGAGAAATGTCTCAGTGGTTAAGAGCCCTGGCTGTTCTTACAGAGGACCAGGGTTCACAGCCACATGGCAACTTACTGTCTGTGATCCAGCTCCAAGGGATCTGACACCTCATACAGACATAAATGCAGGCAAAACACCAGTGCACATAAGAAAAAAACTTAAAAAAAATCTCAAAATACCTTGATATAATTATTTTGGTTCTTCTCAGAGCGTAACTATTGGGCATGTCTTCCTCAGTATAACTTTGCTAATGACAATCTGACAGTAAACTGTCATAAGCTACATCTTAGTGTCTACAGTACAGGCCAGACCTTCCAAACCAAACACATCTTTCTAAGTTTAATCAAAGACTTGAATAAAAATCTCTAAGACTTCTAACATTTAAAAGCCAGTGAAAATCTGGTTCTATTACCAGCTCAGTGTGTGGTACAAATTTAAATAGATGGGTACAGTAATTACTTCTGCTCATGAAAGAAAAAAGTCAAGAGATGAAAGACAAATAATTCCTGTCAGCAGAAATCAATATACTTTGATATCTTCCTTCTAGATTAAGGTTGTCACAATAGGACACGGCATTACGTAAGGCAGGAGAACTAAGGATGTATTGGTACAGAGTAGGTACTGAAATGAGTTCAACATAATCTATGGTTCTAGATCATCACATGTAAGATATGGCTGTAAATTAAAATATACAGTAAAAAAAATCTCTTCTAAAAATTTTATTTAACTAAGATTCACGGGCTGGAGAGATGGCTTAGCAGTTACTGTCTGCTCTTCCCAAGATCCTGAGTTCAATTCTTAGCAAAGACATGGTGGCTTGATCTAATGCCCTCTTGAGCAAGAGACCTGCCTGGTTAGTCATCCTCATCAACTTAGACCATGAAACCCAGTATTGATTGACAAGTTCAACAGAACTGCCATATATGGGCTGCCCATGCATCTCTTCCACATTGCCGGGACATAAATTTCATTTTTCCCCCCCCAAAGATTCATGTTTGGGTGTTTTCCTGTTGTTTTGGGTTCAGTTACTTACATGAGTTCATTGTTTCTGATGATCTTTACCGCCACTTCCTGATTGGCTCTTGCATTATCCCTGGCACGTACAACATTGCTAAACACACCCTGCCCAGTGTAGCCATACACATTATAACGCTTATCTAGGACTTCCCCAATGTTCACACCTAAAACCAAATTTAAAAGTTAAAAGTTTGATTATAAAAACAAAATCAAAAAGTTATTAACACATTGAAGTTATTTAAAAATTGGATCAAATCTCCAGTTTCCAATACACAATGGAAAATCAGTCACGGTCTCTGCTGGTCATCTTTTCAAAATGTGAAAGAAGCTGCATGCCTATTTCAGACAATTCCAGGAGTTCCCATCAACTGCTGGCAACTTTATAAACATGCTCACCGAAGTGTCTTCAGCTGTAACACTGCATGACAAAGACTGTGACTGCACCTGAGTTCCTCTGCATGTTGCTCTCTTGACTTACAATGTAAAGATTGTCAAGTGATAGACGTCTCCTCTAAAGGATTCACTCACGGCTGAAATTATCTACAAACAAACTTAGCTTTACTTTAATTAACATGTAATGCTTCTTCTGGGCTGCTGACTGGAATATAACAAAACTTCATTATGCCACGACTAGCTGTGCCAAACTTTTCTACTGAGACTTAAACAATGTGTGATTACACCAAACAGTGTGCTTTTATGGAATTGTACAATGAATTTTAAAGCTGATGAAAAATGCAAACTTACGGTAATAGCCTTCTGCATCTGTCCAATTATCTCTAAGGTTGGGATTCTCTTTGAAATCTTTCCCGATGCCAGCAGCACGGAGACGAGCACTCTGAAATGAGGGAGGCAACATGAGTGCTCGCTGGGTGACTGCAAACCTCCTTAGTAACAAGAAATGGCAAAACTAACATTTCATTAAGTAGCCAGAATATAATTACCAAATGCCTAATATCTTAATACCAGGAAAAATATTCAAGATTTCCAAGTTTTCAGGGTATGATTAGGGTACTAAAAATGACAACAAAATTTAAAATCAGATCTGGAAAAAGCCCTACATAACTTGTCAACTATCACAGTGTCCAACAATGCCTACTGATTCCCAACATTCCTTTCTCTGCCTTCTTGTCCACAGACATTTGTACCCTTACCACACAGGCATGAAGTATACTAACATTCAATGGCTGCTCTAGGTTGAGTCTGTGTGGAAAATTAAAAATAACATTTTTTAATTTTCTAGTATTTGTGAAGAACCCTATTCTATATTATTTTCCATGGTACCCAGAAGATCCTGCAATGATGTCATAGTTTGGTTATTAGACACCCCAACCTACACTCCCAAGTCTTTGTGACAAAGGCTTTGGATTCCCCAAGTGGCATTGCCAGAAGGCAGTGGAATCTTTTAAAGAGTCATCACCTAGCATAAGTTCAAAGATTTTGAGACACAAAATCCTTCTTGTATTCTTCCTCTTCTTGACCATGAGCAGTTTTATTGCCATCCACTTCTGCCATGATGTGCTGCCAGATGATTACAGATCGGAACCCAAATAAATCTTTTCTCTTTACGATTAATTGTCCAGGTATTTCATTATAGTAATAGAATGGGAACACAAAGTATCATCTAGGCAAATGATAGGTGCTGATAGTTCAATGAGGACAATATTCATCTCATGTTCTTCTAGTGTGCCTGTTGTGGTTCATGTGATGCACTGCAGATTACTTAGGCCTATCGAGTCTTCAGGGTCTCATACACTGTTTATTCTACCTCATTTTTATTTCCTGTTATATCCTCTCTATTTCTTCTTACTAAGGCCTTGAATTTCTTATGATCCTTTAAATATAAACTGAAAATGGCCCCAGACTTTCAGCTGTATTTGTAGTCAGGACTTCTAATAAAATGGCATTGTTAAATATTACAGCAAAACAAAAACAAATACACACACACACACACAACCAACTAGTGACTAAGGTCAGTTAACTAACACCCCATGGTATCTAACACATGCATATATTCCTGTTCACGTGTGGAGGTGGGGTATGTACATACAAGCAGACAAGTACTGCACATTTAGTCTTCTGGATAGAGAACTCTGGTAAAGTTCTCTAATACTTCTGTTGTACACCTTACCTTTTAACAACTAACAGTTTAGGCCTCTGGGAGGTACAAAATTAGTACACTTTGGTTTTGAAATGCTACTCACATAGCCTATTCAGATGTTTTCTTACTTTGTCAATGAGAACCTCATTTCTCTCTGTAACTGCTCATATACACTAGTTAAACAGAATTTTTCCTAAGTACTAACTTAAAACTACTCACATCAAAATAAGCAGCAAACATATCATCAGATTCTGTAAACATATCAGGTGCCAAAAGCTTCTTCTGAGATGAACCTTAAATGAAATATACATTAATACTTGAGAAATAAAATCAAATTAAAATCTAAGTCAACAGAAAAATCAGTAGTATTAATCAAATCTTTTCCTTTTTCACACTGACTTTCAACCAGTATTTGAAAAGCAGCTCATAATACTTGATATAAAAATCTACAAGTACACGTCAGAAAGACTAACATCAACTTTAGCCACTGTCAGTTTAAATAAATAAGTTAACAGCAACTACATAATAATCTTGGATTAAAATGTAGTTACCCTTAAAATCTTATTTAGAAGACAATACTATATTAATAAGACTTTGGCTAAGTAAGTACCTAGGTGTATGGAATGGCAAGATGACGTAACTTGAAAGACAGAATCTGACAATATACAGCAAGAGCACACGCAAAGAATCCACTTCTCATCCAGGGATCACATTAATACTTGAGAAATGAAAATAGAAACTAAAACCTAAGTCAACAGAACAATCAGTAGTATTAATCAAACTTTTTTTACTTCTTACACATTGGCTTTCTAGGAAACTATTCCAAAACTCTGTGGATTAGCTCTGAAAACAACCTGATATACAGTGTTACTAAATTAGTATCCAATGGGTAGCCACAACTGGATATAATCCACACACATCTGTGAGATGACTGAATAAAACACAGACACCCTTAACAAGAAATGAGAATCAATGGAGTCCTTGTTTTGCCAGAGCCTGTATAAAAAAGCAGGGCGTCATAGCTGCACTTGTGATCCCAACACTAGGAAGACAAACACAGGTGGATGCCCTGGTGAGCCAGCCTGGCCTATGCAGCAAGTTCTAAGACAGTAAAGGATCTGTCTCAAGAAAAGATGAATGAAGCAGGAGAAATAAAACCTGGGGTTGTCTCCTGGCCTGCACATGAAACCCATGCCATACAGACACACATATACACAAAATAAGCTAAAAAGCATGTAAGCACAATATTCTTACTCCCGTTTAGTTTCCCTCAAATCTAATCATTATAAGGTTATACAGCTAAAACCAGAGAAAAGCATCATTAAGACACTAACTCACCATTATTTTGTTCAACAGTCATTAGATTATGCTTGGCTTTTACTGAGGCCTCAAAGGTGTCAACATTCTCTCGCTCATATTCTTTTACATCAGCAGCTACCCGCTCCAAGATGTCATCTGGAGAAGGCGATCGTGACCTCGTGCTGCTCTGGGGGCTGCTTGGCTCAGATGGCACAGATATATTGCTATCTTCAGCAAGGTATTTATATTTCTGTAATAACAATAGATACATGAGCTTCAGAAATTATCTAAATAGATGACTTTCTAAAGTTGCTGCATTAGACACTGGGAGTCATGCAAATGCTAAAACAACAAAGCATCCATACCTGCCTTGCATCAGGTGCACAATCCTTACAAAATTCCAAATTTCACCAAGTCTGAAAAGTATTTGTGTTTGGTGTACATTCACCAGGTGGTAAACCTGACCTGACTATGAGTTTATATTTTTCATTGCTCTTTACCCACTGGTTTGACTACTCATGTATCTCATTTTAGAAATATTAATGTGCTGATCACAGGATCTATTTTAGATTCCTTAGGTAGCTCTAAGTGATGTAGACAGATACACCCCATAATACTGTTTAACATTCAAAAGTGTCTAAGTTTTGAATCTTATCTGGCAAGGGTTGCAGATAAGGGATCTTGAATCTGGCCAATAACAAAACAGGCTCAACCAAGTTTTCAGGCGTATCGGCTTAATAAAGACTTTACCAGAATGCCATTAAAAACTTCCCAGGTCTATCTTGCTTCTTTTGCATTTGATTCTTTCCTTGGTTTCCTGACTTACCGTTTGCTACATGTGAGCTGCCATGGCTGCTCTTGTCTTTGTCCTCTGAGACACTTTATGAGGATTGTTGTCCCCAATGACCCAAAAGCTGTACCAGGATTTTGTCTCAGGACCGCAAAAGATATGTGGTTTGCCTTTCTTTCAAAGCAGCAAATTTTATTACTTTGTGACTGCTAAGACCCGAACAGAATGCCTTTCTTACTCATCTTTCATATAAAGCCCAATTATGGGTTGGCAACTAAGGCACAGTGGGTAAAAGTTAATTGCCACCAAGCCTGGCAACCGAAGTTCAATTCCTAGAAAACACACACACACATAGAACTAAGTCCTTCCAAATAACCCACAGCACCAACATACACCATACTCATGCCATGATGCATGTACATGTACACAACATACGTGCAAAAAAATAAATTTTCCAATTACAAACCTTGCCATTATCTTTTTAGATACTAAGGTGCTTTTTGTATAGTAACAATCATTGATTTTGCTAAATGAATTTACAATATATCCTATAAGAATTTTCATGTTTGTTAAAAAAAATACTTCAAATTTTCATGTTTTACATATATCACAATTCTATGTAAAACCAAACAGTCAGTTCTAGTAACTGAAGAAATACAAGTGTCACAAATGTAGAAGCTCTTCTAGTGATCTGGTTACTGTCACTATTCCCCTTCTGTGCTCAACCTAAAAATCTATTTTCCTCTGAGTACCAGGCATTAGAAGGAACACCACTGCTGTGGAACAATCTTTTCCTACACTGTGAATATGTATTACTCTCATTGGCTAATAAAAAGCAGACTGGCCAATAGCTGGGCAGGAAGAGATTGAACACCAGAACCAGACTAGGAGAATTCTGGGAAGATGAAGGGTGGAGTCAGTAGTCACCGGCAAATGCAGAGAAGCAAAATGAGAATGCCATACTGAGAAAAGTTACCAAGCCACATGGCTAAACATAGGTAAGAATTATGGGTTAATTTAAGTGTAAAAGCTAGTAACAAGCCTGAGCTAATGGCTGAGCATTTACAATTAATATAAGCCTCTATGTAGTAACCAGGAAGTGACTCCTGGAGCAGGAAACGTCCATTTACACATCACATACCTGTACAATGGCCTGCCTCTGTATCCTCCTCTGTTCTATTAGCGCCTCTTCATCTTCTTCCTCTACATCAAAATCTTCAAGGCTTTAAAAAAAAAATGTTTTCATACATTTTTGCAGATTTCCAAACTGTTCACTCGAATATTTAAAAATTAAAGTTGGAGCCACAGTCTGAGCCATCACTGCTGGTCCGACTCTCAGCTGCCTGATGGAAGCCTAGCAAACTTTATCCTCACCTTGTTCATGGCACCAAAACTAGAAAACAAGAAGGATCTCTACATAAACATAGAAAAGAGTTCTTTTCCTGCTTTGATCTGAGTTTTCTCACCTCTAAAGAAAAGTTGGAACAAGTAAGCTATTATTTTTTTCTAGATCACAGAACGCTCATGGTCTGCTGGAAAGTGGTGGTGGCACACACCTTTAATCCCAGAAGAAGCAAACAAATCTCTGAGTTCAAGGCCATCCTGGTCTACAAAATGAGTTCCAGGATAGCCAGTGCCACACAGAGAAATCCTGTCTCAAAAAAACCACAAAAAGAAAATAAAAGTATTCATGCAAACACTTGACTCTTTCAGAAGGGCAATAAGGTTCAATATCCAACACACTATTCCGAATGTCCATATTCTGAATATCCACCCACATGTTCTTCAATGGTAACCCCAAACTTTAGGGCCTCCTAAGCATAGCTGTCCTTTGAATGCTTAGCGTCTGCTGAGTAGTTCATGACACTAAGAAGTGCACTGTGACTGTGTCAGGCTCGATGCAGAACTCTTCTCTTTCGCATCTTCCTCAGTCACAGAACCAGTTGGGGTTTCTTAATCCAAGCACTACTGATTTAGGGGGATGGGTTGTTTTGTGAGGTGAAATTAGCCTGGGTATTGCAAGATCTAGTATTCTTGGCCTTCTAACACAAGGTAACAATCAAACGTCTTCAGACACCAACAAAATGTGTCCAATGAGGGCAAGAAGTGCTAGTGAGAAATACCCAACTAAATTAGCTTTGATTTGGAGATAGTGCTTATAGAAACTTTAAAACATTTCTAACACTTGAGAAACACCACTGACATACTAACAACTATCCAACTGAAAACCACATTAACATCTGACAAGCCGAAAAGTCTGAACTTTGTAGAAGTCTTCCCCTAAACTTGTCTGTTCTAATAAAAACAAAAGGAAGACTCATTAAAATGATGGCCCAACATTCAACTCAATCTAGACAAATCAGAACCCCTAAAATCAGAGTGTTATCTATGCCATAAGCCTACCTAATGACCACAAAAGGTTAGCTTGTAAATTCTGCATGAAATTAGGGATTCACTTATGTCACTCAGGTAGAAATTAAAGATCTCTTGTACATCTACATCACCTAGTACATTTCCTGTACTAGGCACATGAAATGGGTGTAGCTCCAGTCTTACTTATCATCAGATGAAGATTCTTGCTCAACTTTCATTCCTTCAGAAAGACTTCCTTTAAATTTATCTTCCTTTACTTTGCTTCTGCTCCTTCTCCTATGACCACCACGTGACCGAGATCTTCTTCTCAAGCGAGACCTGCTCCTTCGACCCCTATCTCTATTTGAAGGAAAAAAAAGGAACAAATAAGTGTTTGTTAAAGTATCAATTAAGGTAAGCAAAGGGCATACATGCGTAGGGAAGAATAAAGGGAGACTTTCTTTTTCTGGGAACCCACCTATCTCCAAAAACTAGTCTATTGAAGAAAGGTGCACAGGCATGGTGGCACAACATATATCCCAGCACTTGGGAGGAGGCTGACCTAGAGTCATTAAAAATTTGTGTTTGTGAGGGCCTAAATGTATGTATGTGTACAACTGATACCTGCAGAGGCCTGGAAAGGGCATTTGATCTCCTGAACTTGAGTTACATACAACAGTGATCTACCATGTGGTTGCTAGGAACCAAATCCAGGTCCTCTGCTAGAGCACCAAGTGCTCTAGAGGAACCTCTCTGGCCCCTCACTTAAAAATTTCAACAAACATAGTTAATAAAACCTGTCATATTCTTTTTTTTTCTTCATGAATATGGAGTTAAGCAAAATGGAAACAAATATTTGTTTGTTTCTCTGGTTGTTCTGGAGAGTGTGTGCAAGTCAAGTACTCTACAACTGAGCTACACTATCAATATTTACCAGCACCAAAGTTGTGACTCAGTACTGGTCCATACTAGATATATGTGTTATGTTATCTTATGTAGACGCATGTGAGAGTGTAAGAATGCAGAAAAGGGAGCAGGATGTCTTTCTCTATTGTCTTCCACATCTTAAATTCTTGAGACAAGAGTCTCATTATGACCTGAGAAACTTGCCTTTATAGCTGGAGTGGCCAGCACTCAGGATTTACCTGTCTGTCCCCTAAATGCCAGAGTCATACGCTTATATAGCCATGCTCAGCATTTTATCTGAGTTATGAGGATGCAGCATGAATTCTAACTGGTATTAATAATAAAAACCCAGAATCAGATATAGGGATTAATGCTGACGATCAGAGAAGCAGCGCAGGCAGCCACTAAGGAGACCTTTTACCTCTACCAATGTTCAGACCAAAGGGGCTATCCTGTCCTCTGACTGCAGGGACGATCCTCAGACTTCAGCTGTCTCCACCAAGCCTCAGACTGTACTGCCCTCCTGTCTCTGCCTCCCTAGCGCTGGAACTAAAGGCATATGATCCCAAGTGCTGGAATGAAAGATGTGTACCACCACTGCCTGGCCTCTAGTGGCTTAGCTCTGCACTCTGATCTTCAGGCAAGCTTTATTTGTTAAAACATACACAAAGTATCACCACAGCAGATTTGAACTCAGGTTTTCATGCTTGTAGAGTGTTCTTATCCACTAAGCCATCTCTCTGGCCATACATTTTATTAATATAGTAAAAATAAGGTTTCCTTTGGGTCTCAACAACATTTGTTCTCTAAGCTGTTTATGCCAGCTATGCATTTTAACTGTATTACTAATTACATAAACTCCCAAAGTAAGAGCATAAAATAGTTTCTATAAAACCTAAGTTGAAACTACAAGGACAGAACACACAGATGGTCACTAAGCGCTAGAGTCAAAGGAGATGCTGATAACAAAGAGGTAGAATCTTCTCTCTCTAGACTGTGGTGACTAGGTGTGCCTGTCACACCTCATAATTTCATACATCCCAGAGAATGCTACTTTATGAAGTCTTTTTTTTTTAAATTTTTTTACTATTTTTTTTATTGAGAAAAGAAGAAAAAAAACATAAACAAAAATCAAGTTTCCACCTCCTCCCAGCCTCCCATTTCCCTCCCCCTACTTTATGAAGTCTTAAACATTATTTACACCTTCATGTGTACAAGTCTAACAGGCACATGAGTGTAAAACAACTCTCAAGAGCTACTTCTCATTTGACACCCTGTAGCATCTGAGGATTAAACTTAAGCTTTGTGCAAGCACCTCTTCCCACCCTACTGGCCTAGCTATGTTTTAATAAAATCAATTTAAAGGCACACTACTGCTTACTAGGTACAGAAAAGACAAACCTAAGGCTTTCTTTTTAAATTTTATAATATTAATCAATCCACTTATTTATGGGAGGGGGGAGAAGGAGAGGGTGTAATTCACCATGTGGGTGCCAAGAACCAAATCCAGGTCTTCTGAAAAAGTAGTCAGGGCTCTTTAGCACTGAACCATCTCTCCAGCCCAGCTTACTGTCCTTAAAGAGGACCTAGATCCAGTTCTCAGCATCCACATCAGGAAGCTCACAACTTGCTGTGACTCAATTGCCTCTAACTCCAGTTCCAAGAGATCCAATGCCCTCTGGGCATCTTGGACACCTGCATGCACGAAAAGATGACACTACAAACAGAAAATGGATCTACAACTGAGAAGAAAGAAAGTGGTCAAGAGGATAGCAGCAGGAAAACCACCTGCCCGAGTCTGTGTAGGAAGGAGATCACAATTGTACACACTGGCGCACACAAACTTGGCAAAGGCAGAAACCTTACACTGAGCAGAAGCACTTTTATGCATTCCCATATCTAGGAAGATAGTTTTAAGAAGTAAATCATCAGAAATATGAAAAGGTGGTTTTAATGTAAGCCTTTAGTATGCTGTCTTCCTAAACTATATTCAAACGACATTAAAGGTTGACAAAAGAATGTTCATTTATGCTTATGTTCAGGTTAATGTATGCACGGATTTTAAGTCCTTTCTTATCAACCTGTAAATATACTTTATATAAAATGTTTTCAAATAATGAGTTGAAATGTTTTAGTCAGAAATCCTAACCAAAAATCAAGTTACTTATACAACCTTGCTTTTTTAAAAAAGGTCTTGCTACAAGTTTAAAAAAAAAAATCTAGGTATTATCAATTTTAAAGACTCCTTTTATTATGTGTGCCTGTATTCATGAATACCATGTGTATGTACGTGTGCAGGAAAACCAGAAGTGGGCACTGGATCCCTTGGAGCTGGAGTTACAAGTGGTTTTGGTCACATGACATGAATGATGAGACCCAAATTTGGGTCTTCTGGAAAGGCAACTGAGACATCTCCCTAGCCTCGTAACTGAGTTCTTGAAGACCTATGGCTTGCATGAATTTCAAAGGAAACTGCACTAAAGAAAACAGTGTGCAATACCACATGCTGGCAGGAAGTGGCTATGGGATCAACAAAAATGTTTCAGAGAAAAATGGTCTATGGGAAAACCTGCCAATTAAAATTTCAAAGAGTCAAATGTGAACAAGTCGAGACAATAACATTTGTCCTTTATACTTACCTTCTCCGAGGGGACCTGCTTCTTCGTCTTGGAGACCTACTGCGTCTCAATGGGGAACGGGATCTCCTCCTAATGGGAGACCTACTTCTTCTTCGGGTTGGAGACCACCTATTGATGGGGCTAGCATCTTTTGATCGTTCGCATCTACTGAGAATATCATCTCGAGGCCGTGTTCTTAAGGGAAACAAATGGAGGTTAAGGCAAAAATAGAACAAACTAAAAGAATCCTCTCAACATGTAAAGAGTGTAAGATTCACAAACTTAAAGAGAGTAACTCTGATTAATTTACTCTGAATTAGCATTTAAAGTCAGATGACCCCACTGGCATTGTGATGTTATGGCATTGTGGCATATAATGAAAGTATTTCCCATGACCTCAAAATTTAAGAATTAAAGGGTATTCATGTTAAAAAGAAACTCTAATTTTAGATGTACAACTAAAGGAAATTTGCCTAACTGGCTTATAATAATCTATTTCCTCATTTTGAAGTGTCTATATATTGATAATTCTGTGGTCAAATCTTATTTTATTTATTATATATGTGTGTGTGTGTGTGTGTTTGTGCCTTGGGACATGTGAGAGTTTAGAGTTAGGCAAAATTTTCTAAGATACAACTGTATATATAGAGACTGGACAAATTCACTTGGGAATATTCTACAAAGAAGCTTCAAATATAACCAACAGAACCTCTGTGTCCAACAGTGAAAAACAAACCCATCTAACATTCATCAGCAAAACACACAACAGCCACACTGTAATTTACTGTGGTTATAAAATATAAAAAAATGACCTATATACTGTCACCAAAGCATGTTTCAAAAAATAGTATACCATTTGTACTTTGAGATAATTTGCAGACTCCATTTATAAGAAAGCACTTATATTCAACTATAATGTGCGTATGACGTGGGCTAGCAGGATACAAATTTATTGGAAGAGGCTTAGAGGGATGGGGAGGCAAAGGACTTAATAGGCTTCTGTATTATTTGACCTTTTCATGATTAAAAAGGGGGGTTTTTCAAATACATAAGTTTGGTCTTCTATAAAACTTTCAGAATTTCCTACTGAACTCCAAGCAAAATGGGACGACTAAAACACTTCAGATAAGACAATCCAAGCAGAATGCTGAAGGAAAGGGGAGCTGTTTAACAGAAGGCTACTCAGAAGTGAAGAATAATGAGTCTCTTGAAAACACTCCTGAGAGTTCTCAGAATGGGATGATTTAACTTTAAGATTAACTTATAGTTACATGAACATATTAATATTAATAGCAATGAATAAATAGTTAAGAATTCATGCCAACATCTTTTTAGTTAAGTAAAAGCTGGCAGATCAGATAATTTCAAATACACAATTCCTATATACACAATAAACTAGTTTCTAAAAAGCCTCTTCCATTTTCCCCAAATTTCATTCTATGGTTCTAATAAATCATTCCTTTGGTTGTATAATCTACTAGCTTAGGGCTAGCGTAGTGGGGTACACCTGTAAACCCAGAAGTTAGGCGACTCAAGTGAGAACACTAAGCTTGAGGCCAGTCACATCTACATCATGGGACCATGCCTCAACACCCTCCCCTAAAAAGAGAGTTTATGAAGGACCACCCCCCCTCAGTGAGCTAAAATAATCCCATGCAGATTTAGTAAACTGCTTCGATTTAAATGGTTGACTGAACAAATTTGAGGCTAAATTAAGAATTTGAAAGAAATGGTCATCAAACTATTCATAAAACACATAAATTACTATAAACACTTCAGCGTTAATATAACTAATGTACTAAGTTACATTAAAGTTATGAAACTAATCACTATCTCATTTAAAATTACCATCATACTCTATTTTCCCTTTAAAATATAAAGCACTAGTAAAGAGCATGAAATGTTTCCTAAGCAGGTTACCTTGGAGAAGAAAGTCGTCTCCTCTCTGGCTCTCTTCGCTTTCTTTCTAAGGATCGGCTCTTGGCCCTTCTACCTGGAGACAGAGTTCGAGAAGGCGATTTACTCTGCTTAGACCGTCTGTCATTGAGAAGTGGGGACCTACTTCTTCTTGACTTGTCTCGCTGTTTTGGAGATAAACTTCTTCTTTTGGGACTCCGGCCAGGTCTTCTACTGGGTGACCTATTTTCCTTCCCTGAAGAGGCATCTTTTGAAGGAGACTTAATTGGCTTCTTTTCTTTGTCAATTTCAGACCGCTTTGACTTTCGCTCTTTGGACCTTGACCTTCTGTCTTTGGATTTATCTCTTAGGTCAACTGGAGACCTGGATTTTTTAGATCGATCTCGACTTCTTTCATTTACAATTGGTGATTTCTTCCTATCTTTTATTTTACCTTTATCTTCAATCTTAATCTTATCATCAGCAGGAGATCTGGCCTTCCCAATCTTTTCTTGGGACCGCCGTCTAAGGGTAGGGGACTTTGATTTTCTTGCTTGGTCTTGAGATTTGCTTCTTTTGGACGGACTTATGGATTTTCTCCTCTCCTTGGACTTGCTCCTATTTGCTTTCTCTCTCACCATGTCAACAGCTCCCTTGCTTTTCCTTTTGTCCGACCTGTGTCTAGTCCTTTCTTTGGATCTGCTTTTACTTCGTTTTTTTGCACTATTTTTGTTGTCCGTAATTTCAAGTTTCCCCCGTGTACTGGAAGACCTGGTACTGGACCTATTTCCATTTCTTGCCTTTTCATGAATCTCTCCTTCTTCTTCGGAGCCAGACTCATAGCCTTGCAAAATGAGCCCCATTCCAGACTGGACCTTTCCCTCCATTAACTCATTGTCAAGCTCAGCTTTAATCAAGGCTCTCTGTTTTTCCAAGTCTTCCAGCAAAGCTAAGTCATCAAGTTTAGTTCTTTTTGCAGGGGAGAGGCCTTCTTTGTCAGAGGCATCTACAGCTCCTTTTTTACGTTTCTTATGCTTATGCTTATGTTTATGTTTTTTATCCCTATCTTCTTCTGAGGAATGTTTATGTTTCTTATGTTTACTTCTGTGTTTATGCTTCTTTTTTTTGTGACGACTGTGTTTATTTTGAGACTGGTCTTCTGATACTTCTCCATTTTCTTCATTTACACTCTTTTCAGAATTATCACCATCATCCATTCTATAAATGTATGAAACACATTTAACAATCACAATATTCATTCAGTGTTCAGTTATAACAATGGTAAAGATAAAATGATCTATCAATGTAACACATTAGTCACTAAAAGTTGTTAAGTTTCAGATATTTTATTTCAAAGGAGGTGTATGATAAGTGCTGAGATGGTAGAGATACAACAATTTGTTTTTAATAGTTGAATTAAAAAACTAAAAGTATTATGGAGTATGGCTTTAAGAAAAAAATCATTTAACTGAAACAAAATCCAAACCAGCAACAATAAAATCCCATAAATTTTAGCTACATAGAAACTCCGGTAATTTGATTTTCAACAAGCATTTTTCACACAAACTTAAACAAAAGGCCCACTTTGTTTTCATAAAGCATAGGTACTGACATACTGGGAAGCTAATCTCGTCAGCATGACACTCAGAGAACTTGCTGGTTCTACAATAAGCCTAGCAGCTTACTAGTGAACATCTCACTAAATGATCCCCTCTTGAAAGAAAAAAAAAATCTCAAGGCTACTACTGACTAGCTCAAATAAGCAGTCATTGTGCACTGGAAGTTTCTCAAGATGACAGTAATAATATAAACAAATCCCGATGGGCCAAGAGTTCAGAGAACTAGCCAAGAGTGAGGACTCCTGGCTTGTAGCTGACTAGCTACAACAACCACAAGGAAGGACATTCTGGAGGTCAACAGTAGTCTAATACCAGAAACGTTGCAGGATTTGATCTAGTATTTGTTCAGCAAATTATTCGCTCTCTATGAATTTCCAATAGAAACTGTTATCCCAAATTATGTTCATATTCACAGGTGGATGCAAAAAAAGAATGAACTAAGGCATGTTCTGCATTTTATTTAAATGCTTGCGTTTTATTGAAAGAGTCTGACTCTCAACTTATCAAGACTTAATGTTCAGTAATTCCAGATTAAATACAGCCTTGACAACACTGCAGATGCTCCTTGACTTACATGGGGTTGTGTCCCAGCACAGCCACTGTAAATTCAAAACATTCTAAATGAAATAACATATTGAATGCACCAATCCTGCCAAAGGTCACAGTTTTGACAACCAATAAGCACGTATCATCTCCCTTTGAAAGCAACTCACCACTGCTTTCTACAAGATGGGACCAAGGGTGAATTTAGGATAATCTTGGGTTCCGTCCACCACACTAATTTGGAAGAAGGTACAGTTTGTGTGCCTCCAATGATATATTCCTAATGCTTCTGGGTAAGGTTTTGTTTGTTTCTTGCATAGGAAGAATCATGGAAGAATCATGAATCTATTAGTCAGTCCTGAACATTTTAAAATGACCTACTACTATAAACAGATTTTCAGCAAGGTGACCAGAAAATAAAAATGTGCAAGGACACATTTGCCTCCCTCAGGAAAGGACACCACACAAAACACTAGAGAAGTACCAGTAACAAAAGACACAAACAAGGGGGTGTTGAACATGGAAAGGTCACTTAAACCTATTTTTAAGAATAGACGAAAAGGGTGTTTTGTAGATCACAGGGGTAGGGAGGTGTGTGTGAGTGGAGGGCGAGAATCCAATCCATCTGTTAAGTGGGCATGGTAAAGAAAAGATGGTAACTGAGAAGGAGTCTGGGCTAAAAACTAAAGGTGCAGTAACAGTATTCTAGAGAGTGAGGAAAGAATGTGGAGAAACAGCACTTGGAATGGAGAAAGCAGGCAGCACAAGGCAGTCATACAGAGAAAACCACAGATACCTGTGGTCAATGCGCCAGCCCTGTGGAAGACTCTAGGTGACAAAGTGTATGCGGTTCTAGAAGAGACTGAGACAGAACGAGAACCCAAAGGCACAGGAACTGCGAGGTTAATGGGATGGCTGAGCTACCTAGAAAGGAACCACCATTCTGGGGACTGCAGCAGGACATGGGGACACAGTCTCTTCCTCTGGCAGGCCTCCCTTCTCAGTAACTTGGTAGGTAGGGATACTACCAAGACTTGGTAGGTAGGGAGACTACTATTTGTCTCCCTCAAATACTCTTGAGGGAGACAAGAGTATTTCTGAGTGAGAAGGTACCAGCCGACAACAACAAAGGCATGGAAGGCACAAAGGAACCCTGAACGTACAACTTCAATTTCTGTTAAAGTACTGAAGAGACACATAGAGGACACTGTCCTGTGATGAGCCGGGTTTTAGTATGTATTCATCTCTTACTAGTAGACTATGAGATGATACAGGAGAAACATAGGATGGTTCCCTGAATCGCATTTTTTTTCCTTGACTCTTGATAAGGGGGAAAGGTCCAAGAAAAATTGCACTCATCTTTTAAAAGGTAATTTAATACACATTTTAAATTTGTATAAAATACACGTAAAAAATTACTTTATACAAGTATAAAATTCATAGTAAAGAATTTTAGTCATGAAAGTAATTATAAATCATACTACATAAAATTGCTCTAAAATGAAAGCAAGCAATCCTCAAGCTAGATTGCTGCAGTGAAAACTTGGTCCCACTACTGTACTATAGTGAGGATTTGACAAGGACCCCCCCACCCCAACCCTGAAATGGGGTTTCTCTGTGTAGCCCTGGCTGTTCTGGAACTTGCTTAGTAGACCAGGTTGGCCTCAAATGATCCACCTGCTTCTGTGTGCCCAGTGCTGGGACTACAATTTGGCAAATTTAAAGTATCTATAAGTTCAGAAGGGGAAAACAACTCTACCTACCTAAAAAGATATTAAATGCTTATCTGTAACAGTATTTAGCATGAACTGCCCCCCCAGCTAGCAATTATTGTATACATATTAGACAAATAATCCTATTCAAACATACTCTGTGGAGATGACTGGGTGGTTATTAATTCACTGAAGGAATACCATCAAAAGGGAATGATTCTAGAATCAAGCTACTTGACTCAAAGTGCCCCCAACACAACCCAGGTGTTGTAACCCCGGGAAAGGTGCTCCTCTAATGCTATTTCTCCAGCTATAAAATCTAGATAGCAGTAACAGACAAATCATAGGCTTGTTTGGAAAATTAGATTTAATTCACACGCAATGTGGTCACAGTAATTACATGAGAAGATTTCTATGCGCACACATAGTACTTACTCCTCGGTACTTAATATGCAATACTCTAAGTGATTCAAATCTACCCATTTCCTCCCCAAAACACCTGGGTTTTTTGTTTTGTTTTTCAATGGTGGAAATAGAATGTTAAGTATAGCCTTTAACTTTATGTATGAAATAAGTTCCATTAGAAAGTGACATTTTATCTAGCTTAAAAAAAATCTACAATTTTACAAATTATAATTTCCTGATAACAAACGTTACCTTGGGACAGTGCTAACTAAAATAATCCTATACACCCAGACAGCAAACTGCTAACTTCTACAGTTGATCTTTCAAAACAAACAAGTGTCACAGTTTATGGTTCCAGGGGCACGTTAGTGGTATAGTGCCTGGCATGTGTCAAATCTTGGAACAACAACAACAACAAAAAATTGGTATATAAATAAGTAAAAAATTTGGTATATAAATAAAGTATCAAAAGCGGGTTCATGCCAGGCGGTGGTGGCGCACACCATTAATCCCAGCACTCGGGAGGCAGAGACAGGCGGATCTCTGTGAGTTCGAGGCCAGCCTGGTCTACAAGAGCTAGCTCCAGGATAGGAACCAAAAACTACAGAGAAACCCTGTCTGGGGTGGGGGGGGGGGGGAGCAGGTTCATTAATCACCAAGCACAAGTGTTATTTTACCTTTGTTTTTCACAGACTTCTCCCAGAAACAGGGGCAGGGTAAGGTGGGGTTATCACAATGCAACCAGGCTGGCTTGGGACTGCCATTCCTCCCTCCTTAGCTACCCCCTTACTGGGATTATAAGCATGCACCACCATGAGCAGATCAAAGACAGACTGTCTGTGACAGAGTCTCACTATATGGCCCTAGGTGGCTTGGAACTCGGAGAGACCTGCCTCTCTAGAGCTGGGATTAAATATTTACAACATCATGCCTTGTTATCAATCGATATTCTTTTTTTCCTTTTTAAAAATTTGTGGCTTTTCAAGACAGAGTTTCTGTGAACCCTGGTTGGCCTTGAACTCAGAGGTCCTGCCTTTGCCTCCTGAGTGCTGGAATTGAAGGCATACACCACTACTGCCCAGCTAGGATAGTCTTATCATTATTGCAAGGACTCAGCTTATCCATTAGAGACAAGCGAGCTAGACAATTGTTTTTTAAAGAGACAAATCTTAAAAAATATATATATTAATGTTAAGCAGAGTGAATGTAAAGGAAGTCGTTAAACGACTTCTCTTACAAACTGAAATACTTTAAAAACAGAATTGATGTATATATCAGCTAGAATGGGTCCCAAAGACCAATTAGTCTTAGATCTAGCTTCCAAATCATGTTTTAGAGATTAAATTTTAATGAATTACATCAAAAACACATCTTAGCTGGGAATGGTACGGCATGCTTGGGAGGCTGGTTTGAAGGACACCGCCAACCCTCATGCGGGTGGAGTGTATCTCTGTGACAGAGTGTTTACTTAGGCTAGCACAGGTAAGGCTGAGTTCACTCCCAGTACCAGGCCCTTCTCAATAATCTCAGGCTGAGAATGTGGCTCAGGAGTAAAGTACTTGCTTATTAACACGTGCAAAAGGGTCGAGTTTGATCCTTAATTCCTCTTCGCCCCCTACAAGGATCTTTCTGGGACACTAGCAACAAAATTATTTCAAACCTTAAGCAAAAATGAAAAGGGGTCACAGTACAACAGTCAAAAAGGAGTCTTTAAAACCAGACTGCACAAATTTAAATGTGACCTTGAGCAAACTACCTTTCTGTTAGTTTCATCACCCATAAAAGAAACAGCAATAACAGCATCTACCTCAGTAGTATTGTTAAAAGAATTAATGAGCTACTATTTGAATGATTTGAATAGTACCTTGTCACTAGTGACCGCAAATAGATTTTTTTTTAAAGCTAAACTAAAGAAGCTGACAAATGTACAGGCAATTACAACAAAAGCTCTTTGAGGAATTTTTAAACTATGTAACATATGTATTCTTTCTTAATTTTCTATTTGAATAGTTTCCCTGTAACTACAAGCTAATCAGTGTACTAGAAGCCATTTAGACACTGAGCACTGTGGTCAGACCCACACATAGTGCCTGCTTTCATAGCAAACTGTCACTTTCTTCATTAATTACTTTCAAATTAGTGAAAATAGGGCACAGAAAAAAATATTCAATTTACACAATTTCTGTGGGGGAAGGGAGGCAAATTAAAGACTACCCCCAGTGTTATGTGCAGTTGCCAGAGCCCAAAACAAATGCATGTTTATAACTATAGTATTATTTAATCGTGCAAATGTCATAGGGCTGAATCATCTTCAAAATGAACTCTACCTTCAAATTAAATAAACGGACATAATACTAGGAACTTTTGAGATTACCAGAACAGCCGAAGACACCCATTGTACTGACCTGATATCCTGTAACTGCCACACCAGGACCTCTATGAGAAACAATAAGCTGTGTCTAGTTAAAACCCTGTCTGTTCTCTGCTAAGCCAAACTGTCAAAACAAAACACACTTAATAAAAAACAAAAAACAAAACAAACAACAAAAAAACCCACGCTGACAGGGGAACCTAGGACTAGACTCTGAGCAAAGAAGTCAAGTTTATCTGGTAGCAAAGCCGTCCTCTATCACAAGTTGCTGGAGACGGTAGTAAACGCTTTCCTAGAGAGGCTGGAAACCCTAGATAATGCAGGTGTGTGTGGGGGTGGTTCTGTTGCAACACTGTCTTCAATGCCATTCTCCTTTAAGTTAAATTTTCTAGCATAAACACGAGGAAAAAATAAAACCACTGCTCTTATTTAAGCAACGGCTAGCCTTTGCCTATTCGAGGATGTGTTTTCACTTGGTCTCAACAACTTCTGTGTTAGCTTACTTATAAACACAGACTAGAATGGTTTAGACGTAGCAACAATTCCCAACATTTCTCCCATGTGTCTTCAGAACAGGCAATAAACTAGGGCAAAAACTGTCAGGCCTCAAAAACCAGGAAGTGTACCTCACTTTGCCTCAAGTTTGGTAGTTGGAAATAAGCTGCCAATGGGCAGAGAAATACCGGGCTGTGGCTGAATAGGGGAGGGCGAAGGACTTCGCTAGCATAGACAATTTCCGAGACAGTCGGAAAGTGCGACCCTAGCACCTCCGTCTCGGACCGCAGCGTTAGGGGACGCGTTAGCAAAGTAGGGCTTGGTCTGCCTGGCGCCACTGTCCCTCGGTTCCCCCACGCAGAGGTCGCCGTGGGTCGAGCCCAGGGAGCTCCACCGTCCCCGGGGGAGGAGCACGAAGGCGCGACCTCAGGGCAGCCGCAGCCGCCACGCGAACTGGACCTGTAGAGGCCGCTCGAGCCGCCGCCTCCCAGGGCAACGACGCGCAGCAGGCCGCGCTGCTGGCGCCCCAACAGCCGCGGCCCCACGGGCAGCAAAGCCGGGGCCGCTCCCACGCCTCCCACCGCACCACCCAGGGAGCGTGGAAAGGCAAAGTTTGGCTGTCGCCGTTAGGCCTGAACTTTCCCGCCCGTCGCGCCGGTCGCCACCGCCTCCAGGCCGGCGGCCCCAGGGCCCGGCGCCCCCACTCCCCCCGCACGGTCCACTTACTCCGCCTGCTCCCGCAGCGACGGGGGCTCCGCGGCGGCCATCTTGAACTTCCCGACTTCTCCGCCGCGCTGCCGGCGGCTCCGCGAACCGTGGACGCCAGTGGAAGCGGAGGAAGAAGGGAAAAGCAGTCGCGCATGTGCAAAGCACGTAGAGAAAAGCAGCGCTCCGAGTCCGCGCTAAGAATCCGGATAGAAAAACCTTACTTCCGGCGGCGGGACCAGGCGCGTCTTGACGTCACTTCCGGATCTAGGGGCGGGCTGAGCGGGGACGAAGGCCTTTCTAACTTGAGCGACGCCCCTTAGGGAAGCTGAGTGTTTCCGTGTAGAAACTTAGAGTAAGGAGCAAAGGCGTGGTATGTTGGTATTATTGGGCGTGCATCTCTGGGAGCTGATTCTTGATGGAGCCCAGACGTGGGTGAAAATACCTCTGTGTCTCTTACTGCTGTTGATTGATTAGCCGAAAGCTTTTAAAGCGCCTGGATCTCCCCCAGGTCCCCTTTTGACCATATGTTCTTTGTGGTTTGCTTTATATGAAAATTAAGCTTTCTGGTTTTGGAAGGGATAAGTAAAAGATAAATAACGGACGCTGTCCGATACCGAACTGTGACCAATTTCAGATTTATGTAAACCTTTCTTAAAATAGAATAAAGCTAGGTGGCCTTTAATCCCAGCACTCAGAAGGCAGAAGCATCTCTGTGAGTTCAAGACCAGCCTGGTCTACAAGATCTAGTGGGGGGACAGGCTCCAAAGCTACAGAGAAACCCTGTCTTGAAAACAAACAATTAGAACAAAACAAAAAGAGCAGAATAAAGCAGTCAGGGAATTTTTGGCAAAATTTTTCCTTTGAAGATTTTTTTTCACAAAGTTCATTTCCATGCTATTATCAGTTTGGGAGCGAAAGAGAAGATTAAAACATTCCATATTGTTACAGTTAACAGTTAGTAGAGGTGAATCAAACATTAATCATTCAGGAAACGTTTACAAAGTGACGGACAGACCAAACAGTTCCTTCTAGTACTTTTTCCGCCTCGGGATCCCTGGTATCGGAACGCCCGGACCCGTAGCCACAGTTTCCGCGGAGCGGGGCGGAAGTGAACGCTCCAAGGCGCCGCACCAGCTTCCCGGAAGTCTTTGGCACCTAGAAAGACGCAGGCGTGCGTGCGTCCTGGGAAACGCGTGGGCGTGTTCAAAGCGAGCCGCGGTCAATGCTGCCACAGCACTGAGGCGGGTTGGTTTAGCAAGGCTGTGCCAGTTCCGGGCTCCTGCCCAGCGCGTCTCCGCCTCCTGGCCTGCGACGTCAGCGGAGCGGCAGCGGAGCTTGCCTCTGCGCTCTGCGCTTCCATGCGGACCCCAAGTTCCCTCCAGTAGAGCTCCGTCCTGTTCGGTGACACTGGAAACAACGCTTGGGGCACCGCGGGCAGACAGTGCAAAAAATTGAGGCTTTGGAGGCAAGCGCATCTTTGTGAACGCTTCATCTTTCCCTACAACCTGTGCTTGCTTCGAGGATTATTTTTAACGAGTTGCACATTCCTGAAATAATTGAAAAATATTTTTGAGTTAAGTTTATTCCCGTGGAAAGCTAGTAAACTCGTACCTTCTAAAAGGCGGATAGTCATCAATCCCAGTAAGCTCTTAATAGGCTCATTGTGACACACTACCAACAAATTACGAGCATCGTAAACTCCTTTGACTCTTGTAGTTTCCAGATGTCTTTGAAGGATGTAGAACGCCAGCCAAGTGGACAGCACTCGAGTTTAGAGTTGGAATTTGGGGTTTTGTGGGAAGACGCCAAACTGGTGTTAACACGCATGAGGAGGCATCATGCCTCCTGTCTTAATTTAGCTCTTTGTTGTTTTGAAGCAGTTCTGGTGCATTTATGAAAACGGGGCAAACGCAAAGTAAAGAAAACTCTCCCTCCATTACCCACATTGAACAAACAAGAATATGTCGGTTTATTTTTAGTCTTTTCCTATGTGAAATACTTAATTTTCTCACACTTGTGTTCACTATGACATAGTTTGCTCTCTGATGTGATAGCTCTCAATGTTTATGTCATTCTGCTTTGGCAAACATCTAGCTGCATTATTTTTCTTGTTATTAGGTGTCTAGATTGTAACAGATTTTGCTCTATTATAACTATAAAGAAAAACAGAACAGTGTTTAGAAAAAACAAGGGGGCTGGCTGGTGGGGTGGCTCAGTGGGAAAAGATGCCTGCCAAGAGGCCTGAGGCTAGGTTCAATATTCAACCCCCCTCATGAATTGTCTAATGACCTCTATTCATGCACACACAAATAAGATGTAATACAACTATTTTTAAAAGAACCTAGGATTTATGTCAATAAAGGCTTCTTCATTTATGGTGTAGCTAAGAATAACTCACTTTTATATTTTTCTAGTTTTACCAATCAGTAATTTGGGGATAGTAGTTCTCATTGTATAAAAATGAAATAATGACCAAAATGTCTATATTAATAAATAGTAGTTACTAAGTATTTCTTGTGTGATTTATTTTTGGTGACATATGATTTCTTTCTATATTTCTATGTATAAGTACTAGCATTGCATGGAAACTCCAATAAAGAACACATAGAAAATCTGTACTGCCTGCTGGTGACTATGTAGGGAACTTACCCAAATCATCCAGCCCCGAGCTTTATCTCCTTTTGTCCTTTGTGCACAAAAACCACATGGTTGTCACACTTTGATTAGCAAGAACAGTAAGGGAGAAAAACTACAGAAGCCAAAAAGCAGAGTGACCCTTTAAAGACTTTCTTGGGTCCTGGAATCATGGACCAGGTCTTTGATGGATTAGTTCGATGTTCCAGTTTTAGCAGGTGTTGGGACCTATGTGCTAGGTTCTAAGATAAAAATGGTGCTTCCAACATGGCATAGGTTGTGCTAAGGTCTGGGGGATGGTTACTCTATTGCCACACTAGATGCAAAGGGTTTAATGCCTTTTTTTGTTTTGGTATAACAATTGTTGGAATTAGAAATTAACTTTTTTTACATTAAGAAAAAATTAATTGTAATCTTTTTACCAATGATTATTCATGTTTGGAAATATCCTTTCTCATATTTATGCATATGTGTATTGTGTTTTTCAAAATAGAATTATGAATTTGATTTAATAATTTGCTAAGGATAGTGAAGATGAAATTATGGCAGAAGCCATTGAGTAATGCTACAAACCTTTAATCCCAGCACTCAAGAGGCAGAGGCAGGCAGATATCTGTGAGTTTGAGGTCACCCTGGTCTACATAATTCCAAGAATGTGTAGATAGACAGGATCTGAGAGAGAGAGAGAGAGAGAGAGAGAGAGAGAATTGAGGTGTGGGGATAAAGCCATAAAGAGCTGTAGAATTTGGATTTCATTACAAATTAACTGCATGAAGTAAGTTGGGGAAATCACAGGGTTACATGATTAAATTTGTCCTAGAAGATTTACTTGGCTACTTCATGGAAATAGATTTCTAGGGATCTTCGTTGCCTCAGTGAAGAAGTAATCTAGGAATCTCACTGAGATAGTGGTAGCTTAGATTGCTGTAAGAGAGGTAATGTGAAATGGAGGTAAGTTGTGAGAGGACAGGTTATGGGATTTACTAATGTATTGGATATGGGAAAAAGAAAGCCACTTAGAAGTTTTTGCTTGAGGATTGATAGTACAGTGGTAAAGCACATGGGGAGCTTATACAAGGCCCTGGGTTCTAACCTCAATACCGTATTTTTAAAAATGTGTTAGCTTGGGTGGTTGCCTTTAGTATTTAACAGCAATGTAAGAAAAGAGCTGATTCTAGATGTGTGGAGGGGTGGAAATTTAGTTCTAGTGTTTCATACCCTCAGTATAGAATATATATGTTGTGGATGTCCCCTCTGTGTGCTGTGGTTACCATTAATGAATAAAGAAACTGCAGTGGCCTGTTGATAGGGCAGAACTTGGGTAGGCAGGGGAAACTAAACAGAATGCTGGGAGGAAGAAAGCAAAGTCAGGGAGACACCATGGATCCACTGCCAGAGAGAGACGTGCTGAAACTTTGCTGGTAGGTCACAACCTTATGGTGATATACATATTAATAGAAATGGGTTAAATTAATATGTAAGAGTTAGCCAATAAAAAGCTAGAGCTAATGGGCCAAGCAGTGTTTTAATTAATACAATTTCTGTGTGATTATTTTGGTTCTGGGCAGCCGGGCAGCCAGGATGAACAAGCAGACCTCCTTCCTATACATATATAATTTGTAATGATTTGCTTTCTCATGCAACAATAATTTTTACCTAATTTTAGTTTCAGTGAGCATTTCTGTTCTTGTTACAAGGTGCCTAGCTCATAACAGCTTTGTGCTACTTCCCATGTAAGGTTCTCATTGTTGTCTAGGTTCTTCGGTATTGTGATTTGTAGGCTGGTTTTCTTTGCTTTATGTCTAAAATCCACTTATGAGTGAGTACATATGATAATTGTCTTTCTGGGTCTAGGTTACCTCACTCAATAGATGTTGTCTAGCTCCATCACCTTGCCTGCAAATTTCAAGATGCCATTATTTTTTTTTCTGTTGTGCAGTACTCCATTGTGTAAATGTACCACATTTTCCTTATCCATTCTTCAGCCGAGAGACAATTAGGTTGTTTCCAGGTTCTGGCTATGACAAGGCTATGAATATAGTTGAGCACAAGTCCTTGTGATACGATTGAGCATCCTTTGGGTATATACCCAAAAGTGGTATTGCTGGGAGAAACAATTAATAAATGGGACCGCCTGAAACTGAAAAGCTTCTGTAAAATAAAGGACACAGTCAACAAGACAAAATGCTGCCTACAGAATAGGAAAAGATCTTCACCAACCCCACATCAGACAGAGGTCTGATCTCTAAAATATACAAAGAACTCAAGAAATTGGCCATCAAAGGAACAAATAATCCAATTTAAAAAAAATGAAGTACAGAACTAAACAGAGAACTCTCAACAGAGGAATCTAAAATGGCTAAGAGTCACTTAAGGAAATGCTTAACATCCTTAGTCATCAGAGAAAATCAAAATAACACTGAGATTCCATCTCGTACTTGTAAGATCAAAAACACTGATGACAATTTATGCTGGAAAGGTTGTGGGGTAAAGAAAACATTCCTGCATTGCTGGTGGGAGTGCAAGCTGGTACAGCCCCTTTGGATATTATTAT